GCTTTTGTTGTTGATGACGACGAAGTCCAATGAATATGTTCATACTGCATATGAGAAGAAATATTGTGGGCAAGACTATTTGAAGGTTAGTTATTAGAATAGATCAGATCTGAAAAGAATTGATAAATATTTTGTAAATTAGCAAGATTTCAAATAAAGAAACATACTTTCGAGTAAAAGTCTTGGTAGGTAGCGCTTGACGAGGAATCGGCAGTACATGTGATGGTGCCGGGTACAGTATCCATTGATAGCAGCAGTAAATGGAATTTGAATGCAATCAAAAAGATGGAGAGAATGAATGCATCGATAAGTATTCCTTTTCTCGTACAAAATTCTTTGACTCGAAAAAGAAATCGAATACGAAGCCATCGATCGATTGCAATGACTGATAACAGCCAAGCTGAATAGCACATAGAAAAATGTTGGATAAATGAATAAAAACAACACAATAAATTCATAAGATTGCCATTTATTGTGGAAACACCAAGGCCAAGAAAGACAAAATTGTAGAAACACATTAACAAATAGATTGTATCTGACGCAGTCATGTATACGAATAGGCAACTCGTCGAAACATTACGGAGGGCTTGATGAAGAAATATGATGGCACTTGTAGCATGACCGAAGAAGCCAAAGAGGAAAAGAATAATGTATCCATAGAAAGCCAAGTTTCTCTGAATAGATGAAATCGGGACTGAACCAAAGTCCGGTGGAGGACACATTCCACCACCAGCAAGAAAACTGTTGTTATTACTAGTGTAATTCATCTATGATTTTAGATATGAAAATAATAAAGAGAATTTCATATATATATATGCAGTGACTATTTTCTGTCGCAGAGCGATTGTAGACAAATAAATCTGCCAGATCAGTGTCCAGATTGCATCGGTGTACATGGATTTATTTTTAAAATTAATATCAAAATCGATTATCAATCGTATTTGTACGTCAGGTATCAGATCCTATATTGTTCTGGGAGTGACAAAGATTATACAGTGTTCATACACTGGATTGAAATATTCGTCTCACATATATGACATCTTATATCTATATTTTTACTTCTAATTTATAGAACAGCTAACTTTAATTTTGCTAGAGAAGACAACACTTACAGTATTGAATTCAAAGCTCAGTTCTTCGATATCATTCAACAACTGATCTTTAGTTACTGGAATCGATCAAACATATTTGTGTCAATAGGTAAGATATAGAGTGGACGACTTTTAGAAATAACTATACATTGCACCATATATCCATTTTATAATTATAATATTAAAGTGTAATAAATTGTTGTAAACACTTATGAAATTGAAGACTAACTTTGCTGTTTAAATGCTATAATCGATAGTATACGATGCATAATTACTCTCAGTGAATTTTCAACTGGACTAACTGATACAGCAGCAAAAAGAATCTCGAGAAAGGATAATAAGGGTGTGAGTGTGGGTGTGGGTGTGGGTATGGATATGGATGTGGATGTGGATAAAATGTACACCCACACCTACACCCTTAACAATAAATAATAGTAATGCCTTAGAAGCTATTGCTGTTTGATATTAATAATCATATTCAATACCTGAAAGACATTGCAATGTCATTGCTGAAACGCTTTGAAAGTGAAAACCTTATAGAAAATCTGGATCATACAAGATTCGACTTGTAACAAGTTCCTGTAGGTATCTTGCCCAAGGAACTACGACAGAGTGGTTGATTATACAATATATAACACAAAATCGTGCAAATAGCTGAGAAATAAGTTGCGGTAACAATTATAAGCTGTGATTTTGGAAGAAATTGTGATTTCAGGTTAATATATCAATTTGTGCATAATTACACCTAATTTCCGTACAATTTCGTAAAATCATATGATATATAACAGTAAGATTTCATCAGACTTTTGCAATATTCCATTGTGCAATTTGTTTGACTGGAATATTCCAAATAGTATGTACTGAATGAATCATAATACGCAATTCCATCCATGCTAAAGAAAATGAAGCAATCGCCGAAGCTTGATATTTTTTCGAAAAAAAGGATGTAAGTAAAAATATATAAATTGTCATGTAAACGAATAACTTGTGTATTTATTGAGTACAAATGATGTCCATCATCTTACTGCTAATACTCTCGAGTGTTCAATATTCCAGCAGCATTGCCATTGGTTCCATCTCCACGAAAAATACTGGTAATAATGCAATAGAGCTAACCAAACCAAGTACTCTCATATCCATTCTCACACCTCCAATGGATGCTTTTCTACCAAATGATCGAATAACATTTGAACGATATCAACAAGTTCAATTTGGCTGGACACGTGATCAATTGACAAAGTATGTTGGTACTCCCGGAAAAGTTATGCCATTATCTATTGATAATCAAAATATAATTCAAGTACAATATCAAGGTCTGTCGCCTAGTATAATTGCTATAGCAGGATTTGGCTTTTTAAATGGAAAATTATTTACAAAAACACAATTTAACTTCGATTTTACAGTAAATTATAAGATAACAAAAGAACAATGTGACAGAATTCAAATTGGATGGACTTATCAGCAAGTAAGAGCAGCTGTTGGAAATCAAAAGGGAAATGTAGTGTCAGAATCTGGTACAAATGGAAATACAGGAATGGTAGTTCAATATACTTGTATCAAAGACCAACAGCAAAAAGTAGATGGTACCGTTACACTTGCATTCGTAAATGACAAAGTAGTTAGTAAATTACAGCCCTGATGGTGATAAATATTCGAATAAACAGTCGTTTTGATACTTTTTTTTTATTTTCATTTAAGTCAGAAACAAATTTTATGTTTTTTTTTAGTAGATTTCTGTAATAATTAATCAAGAAAGTTATTTAATCGATAAAATTTATATTTAGACGGTGTGGGCGTGGTTGTGGATTCCACACCCTGATTTTGTTTTCATTACGATAAAACAAGAAAAGAAAAAAAATATAGTTCGAGAAAACATGATTCATTGATGTATTCATTGTCAATAATTAATAATTATTAATAGGATTACTTGTTTCATAAAATTTCCTTGTGAATATATAAATCACGCTATATGTTTCTTTCAAAGTCACATTATCAATCATCCTCTCCAATACATGTTATATTTGAGATTTATTGAAACAACATACTTCTTTCTTATTGTCTTTAGTCATTTTTCGTTTTATTAGATTATTTAATGATTTTCGTCGTCATCATCGTCATCTGCTTTATTCCTGTTCTTCTTATAGTTTTTTTTTCATTGATTTTTCCTTTTTTAAACTGAACTATTGTTCCATAAGATACTTCAATAAATTCTAATAATACATTTTATTGATGGTTATTCACCATATTGAGCTTTCTTACAATTATTTCTTTGACTTTTCGGCACTTGTTGACCTTAGGCACATCCCTCGTTCTCACTGTAATTGGAGATAGATATTACATTGTAAAAGATAATGAAATTCGGTAACATTTGATTCTATCAATGTGCGAATAATCTACGTATATAGAAACTATATCAATCATCTAATAGATAAAAACAGTACTTTTGAGCAAATTGATACTTTCTAATCATTAAAGAAAGAGTCAGAAGAATTTAATAAAAAAAAGTCATCGTTAGATAGAAGAATCAGTGTTATAACAAGTAAAATTTCGATGATTCAAATTAACATTTGTTTTTGTTGATTGAAATACTATTCTTAGCCATGTTCTTTATACCACTGGTCCAATTAAAATGATTCCAAAGATATTGATTAAATCTATAATATTTTGTGTACTAATGCTGTCGTGTAAAAGAAATATATTTGATATCTGGATGGTTTTTAATCATAACAGATACACCAGGTTAAATGACCACACCTTGTATTTCAATTTTCATTCATTTGATATATTGTATTTAAAAAAAAAAAAAATATCCTACAAGGTGCAGGGTGAAACGCTCTACAATTTACATAGGATCGTTTTTTTTAATAGCTGCACTTTTTGCTTTTAAAGTAGTCAAAATTTTGAGTGATTAAATTTCAACCATGCGAAAATTGATCGCAGAGAAATTTGCTTTTTATGAAAACAATTACAATAAGCTTTACTGCGTAAATTATAGATCTTTTCACGCTGCATCATGTGGTATATTTTTTCGTTTTTTTTAAATACAATATATTAAGTGAATGAAAATTGAAATACAAAGCATGATCATTATACCTGGCGCACCCATTATCAACACTTCAACACAAATAAAGAGAAAACAGATTGAATATAACAGATTTCTTTTTGTGACTTTTCAATATTTCCGAGAATCTAAATAGAGATTTATTGTTCTTTGTGAGTAAAAGAGGACACACTAGCTTTTAGTTCCGTGCTTGAACACTAATAAAAAATCAATTTGAAAAAAAAATCTTGATTAAATAATCATTATTGCATTTTTATGCGATTTAAATGAAGTTATGTTATTAATATATATTGAATTTGTATACCAATTGGAGGTTTAACAGAGCGACAAGCCAATGGCAAACATGTGACCACATTCATTGATAGATTAGTATTATCTAGATGCGAAACACTTCCATTGGATGTTGTTGCGATAGCTGCTGATACATCTTGAATAGCAACACCAATAAAACTCTCATTGGAAACAATGATTTTCTTATGAGGAATAGTGTATGTTTGAATTGTTTTCGTTGTTGATATTTGAGATAAAGGTATTAAATATTGACTACACACTATATATTTATTATTTATTGGTACAATTCCATAAATCCATATACGAGCCATTTTAGTTGGCAATTTTCCTGATCCATATCGGAGTGTTACAGTTTGAACATAACCACTCATCCTAGTTGGATCTTCGAGATTGAATAATATCCCATTGGTCTCCATAGATCCACCATCTAGTTTACGATTACCTGAATTAACAGTTACAACTATACAAAGGAAAACAAGATTAGATAATGTGTTAGAAAATAATAAAATCCTTACCTTTTCCATTCGTAACTGGTAGACCTACAAAAGGAAATCTTTTTAAATAGAAAACTTGCATCTAAATAACTAGTTTTGCGAGAACCTTGAGCCTAGACTCATTTAGAATTATTGATCTTTTTTGGTGAAATTGTAAAAAACTTTGCTTCCGAAAAAAAAATCTCAAATCTGATTTGTTGAAATCAGTTTTGAAAACTATCGAAACTACTGTTTGCAGGATATCCAGAGATTTTCTACTGTATTACTAGAAAATTTTCTAGATTATTGAAATGATATATTACCTGGACAGATTGGTTGATTGTGAAATTGTGAACAATCCGATATCGTCTGGTTTATAGTAGTAATTAAGTCACTTCTTTTTCGTCTTCCTAAACAAACCCCATGTTGATTAAGAAAAATATAAGATTGATAAAATAGGATTTGAATTGATCTTAGTCAATGAATTCATCATATTCATATGAGATGACCGATAATAAATGAGTCATTTATGCAATATTTCGATGATATTTCATTAAGAATTTCGTTCACTAGCTTGATACTTTATATCGAAAGATGCATCATGACACGTTCTACAAGACCGTTTATTTGATTTTGTTTCACATTGTGATGATTCTTTCTCTTAGGATGATTTTAAACAAAGAAATAAAAAGATTTAAATAAATCATCTGAACATTACAATTATGTTCTATTCGAAAGTCTACATTCTACAAAATAAAGTTCGATAAATGATCTTGTAACAAATTTCATAATTCATCTTTCGATTAAAAAAAAACGTTAGTTTGATGAAATAAAATTCAGCTAAGATACAAACTGAAATCCGACAAGGGCAAGTTCCAGCCAAAAAAAAATGTCAATATTTTGTGACATTTTAAATAGAAGAGGTATCTATGGGCTGCAAAATGACTATGAAACTTGATTTACAGCTTCATAGCTGATGGACAAATTTGAACAAAAAAGTTGCTTTTTCATTGGGAAAGTTGATGTTTGTGTAAGATTTCATGATATAATTTATCATTTTTATGCTAAAATCACTTTAGAAAACTTTCTCATACATCTTTTATCAGAATCGAAATGAAGAATCATTCAGAAAAAAAACTTCATATTTGCATATAAAGAAAGTTGAAGAAGATATTGATGAGATACAAGCAACGCTGTTTATTCTGGATCATACGTTAATTTCCATATTTCGAAATATTTTTTTTTAAAGAATACTCACTTATTTCGAATGAATCCGTCATTGGTAGTATACGCGTAACGTTCAAATGAAGAAAATGAAGATTGTTTATATTTGATCCAAAGATAGTGACTAATCCCGTCATATTAGGTTGTTTGGTACTGACTACCAAAATGTACACTTTGCCAGAATAAAATTTAGCTACAATTTGAGACTCAATAAACCACATCTGAAATTTGGGTCCGATTAAGTTTACTTCCGGATCAGAATCGTTAAAAATATTACTGTATAATGCACAAGAGGATGGAACTAGACCATGGCATCTGATTGTGTAGAAATCTGTTACGTTCACCATGACCTTTATTGGTGCGTAATAGTGTGAGGCGCTCCCATCTTTCGGAATATACATAGGACTATCTGTAGTTAACACAATGTCGAATCTTGATCCAACCACATCATCGTTAATACTATTGATCACTAAAACGATAGAAAAGCGAGATCAAAATCATTTCCATCTATTACATTAATAGATAAGACCTAGGAATTTCTTTTCGAATTAGTCTTCGTGTTGTACAATGATTTAGCCATCTTGGCCGAATGTCTTCAACATAGATTACCATCGAAAACAATGTAAAAGTTAAAGAACTCATCTAGCATCCCATTTCAAGAAAAAAGATAAAGTTTTCGTTTGGAACATAAATTAGGAAAAAAGTCACAAGTGTCGTCATTGACAGAATATTTTCAATGGAAACTATTCTTCTAGAATATATGAGTCAATTATATTGATTTTAAAAGATATATTTTCTGTGCCATGGTGCTTCTTTCAGGCTTTTTCATTTAATGAAAGTTTAATTTCGTTCAAAATAATGAATCAAACATGGTTCTCAGTATCAAATTTAAATTCACCATACGAGTCAACTATAAAATTGTCTGTGAGTGTTCATTATGGAATGAATGCTCTTTAATCATAAGAAATTAATGATCATATTGATGAATAGCAACACTTGGAGTATTTGGCATGACCGAGATCAAACAGGAATTAGATAAAAATATACGAGAGATCGTGATCTTTGCAAAACTTACAACAAGTCTTGGCCTACGATTCATACAACAGCTGACTTCTGAAGAGTATCTTATACGGTCTTTCGATATGATCACACGGATAACATAGCAATGGAAGAATCGTACGCCAAGACTTGATGTAAGTTTCGCAGAGACTACTATTTCTTGTACATTGTTCATAATATTTCGTCCGCTCTGCAAGATCTTGCATCTGATTTTTCAACTCCGAACTATTACTAAAAAATATTTCTTGTTTCTTTGGATTATAATCATCGAATGCAGGTGGATTAAATATCAAAATTCGTTATGATTTGTACTAAATTTGAGTCAACTGGTATTTTTATTGGTTCCTGTACTGATACATCTGTTTAACGGTTGCACATAAAAATCTTACCAAGTTTCATAGATGATTTATTTAGTGATAATCTTAGGATATGAGATTACATAATACACAATAGTTTTCAAATAATTTAATACTACGCTGTTAATCATACGCTGAACTCTTAATCAGCTATTAAAATTCAATAAGATCATTACCGGAACAAAAGATAATGACTAAAGCATATGCAGCCAAAAACTGCTCTAATCTGTAAAACAGTGAAAAAGATGATTTCTAAAATAAAATCATGGAATAATATCTAAAAAACCAAAATCAATGAAACAAAAGTGAAAATGAACTTCAGAGATTTTTGATTTCAAATTGAATCAAGAAATTGCAGACTAAAATCATGATATCTCTGAAAAATGTTTTGTGAGAAGTTGATTATAACTTTTTTTCTCGCTCTATTCATGATCAAACAAGAATGAATCAATCAAACAATTGTTGATATTGATTGATGAAAACATGGACAAAGAGCATGAGAAAGAATGACGATTCAGTCACGAGACTTTTTTGCTATAGAAGAGATAGGCTTCTCATATTAGTTCCAAAGAGATGCTTAGTTCTAGAAACTTTCGAGATAGATAAAAAAATCCTACATTTTGCTGAATGACGCGCATAAATCTGCTAGCAGAACTGATAGAAACACTACTCGGAGATCTCTACTCACCCATCGATGTTCTGCTCGTAGGTGGTGTCACTGTTGGCATTGTATTTATGCGTTCAAAGCTAATTTGATCCGGACCAGAGGCAATTATCGAAAACCAACCATTTCTTAGAGAACTGTGAGTAGTCACAACCAAAATATATGTTGTATTCTGCTCCAAATTGTATTGAATTCGAAATTGCCCATTGGACTCACCGTCATCATTACTTAAAAGTAAGTTATTCGATAAGTTTGAAGGATCAAAATCGTTTCTGTAGAAATAGCCATAAGTATCCATAGAACTATTGCTTGTAAGTGTATAGTAGCCTGTCGTATTGACAGTGATTCGGATCGATTCGTAAAAAAATCTGTTATAATCATTTCTTCGAAAGAATATATGACTATTTGTAGTTAATTCACTTGAGTAATTACTGTAAGCTGCATTCCGATCCGGATATTGGTCTAAAAAGATAAAGAGAGAAATTATACTAATGCTTAATGCATTTCTCCAGTTATCACAAAAA